TTGCTACTTCAGAAGTAAAATCAACAAAAGACAAAGAGCGACTTAACCGCCTGTAAGAAATTTTGTGTGCCAATAAAAGAAGCTAGAGAAATTGAAAAAATACAATTGAGTTCGCCTTTCGTCTGACCACAGTTTACATGCCAATTCGCAAGCAAATTGGCAGCGACTAAGAGCCGGCTACATTGAGCAACTTGGAGCAACATAAATTTTTGTTGTTTGGCTATATAACATATGTCTTATTAATCGCGAGCTCGGTCGGTCGGTCGGTATGAGAGAATCTTGACCTCGGTCGGGAGTACAGACCTCACTACGTGCGGTCTACTGACGACCTTGGTGTGAAGATTCTCCCACAGACCTCCCGCTTGGTTAATAAGAACTAGTTATTGATACTTATGCCTGATCGTACCTTTCGTTACACTTCTGCAGCATATCAGGCTCGTTTGGTCGAGCCATGGTTCGTAGTTTGGTGAGATGTAGTCTACAGTGGCCGATCTAGGGGAAGGCCCCTCTCATTTTGGGTAAAAAAGGAAAAAAACACAGAAAGAAGAAAGGCCGGCAGGGCAAGCAAAACAAAACCGGGTCCCATCCTTAGCTCAAGGTCTGGATCCGACACTGGTCTAGAGAAAATATCCATGGCGAGCCCAAACGAGCCTGATACACCAGGAAACCAGCACACGAAAAAGTAAGATGTTCCATTCTCATCATCTCCAGTTTTCACGCTCAACGCTTTGAACGCATGGGACTATAACCGTCCTTTCTGGCAGCCAGCGCAAAACGGCCTGCATTTTGACTTCGGCTTTCCTACGGAAGTCCGAGTAATAATCTCAAACTACCCAAAGGATAAGCAGTAAAAAATGCAAAAAAAAATTAATGCTTCTGTTAACTTTTAATCCTGGGTTAATCGGCTTTCGAACAACCCTGCCCTGGTTGTTATCAACTTTTTCTTTCTTTCAGGAGTGAATGATGAAAATAATGTTTGTCTCCGTAATATGACGCAACAGCCTTAACTTGCAAAACAAAAAGGATTACCTGTAACTAACAAATAGTCTGCATGCGAGACCTGTAACCTATCAGGCTGGAGCTTAATTATCTCGGTTTCTGTAACCTGAGGCGACTAGGAGTATTTCTACTCTTTCCCCTACCCCCCACCCCTGGATGGGATGCTA